TACTGACTCCTGCTTAAAAAAGTCACCTTCTTTTGCTTGTTGCAAATCATACTCTGAATGAAAGTGCTTGTGCTCTTGATATAATATTTCCATAAACATATTATGATCAGTTTCCCTAAAAAATTTAATTTGAAACGGGGATCAAGCATTATTTCAATTCTCAAAGGAACATTATCTTTATATTCTTGAAAACGACTTTTATAATCAGTTTCAAGTTTATTAACAACAGTTTTGATTCCAGTTGCTTTGTCACATAGCCAATAGACTTTTGCATAAATAAATGATATTATCTCCGATAAACACGCAGTCTCTGCAGTCATATCTTTTGTAGCGCATTTAATGTGTTTTAAGTATCCACACAAGCATTTCAGCAAGTTACCATTGATATTCTGATGGATATCTGATTTTGTATTTATTATTATATTACAATCATTCATATTTTTAAGTGTTGATAAAAAAAATAAGTTTTCTAGCATATGTTTCAAGCGCAAAAAAACTAAACACAAAATAAAGGAAAATAGTAAATACAATAACAGAAAAAAGTTAAACATAGAACTTAAATAAAATATAAAAAAACACCCATTGATTTTGATAAGCAGGCAAAGAAATAAATAACAATACAGTTTGCAACACGTCGGAATATCTACTATGTATGCCGCGGCAAACGTCAAAGAAAGGAGCAAATTAGAAGTAGTATAATTATAGTATTTATATTGTAAACAATAAAAATTATTTTATGTTTAATTTAATTGTAGCTTAGTAGCTCTAATTAGCTGAAAAAACTTGCCGAAGCCAATGATTTGGCAAAAACTGACCCTGGCTTCGGCCAAAGCAGAAGTTTCCGAAGCCGAAGAATAAGCCGAAGCTTCGGTACATCTCTAATATTATTGTCTAACCAAGTTAGTACGCATCAAATTCATGGCTGCGTTTTGTCTATTGGGCCTCATTAGCGTTATGATGTGTTACCGAAGGTGTAATCACACCACTTTTTCGGCCGATCAATTTTTATCAATTCTACACAGAATTGATAAAAAACTTCAAAATATAAAAAAAGTATTGTTCAAGGTATTTTCTTTGATTTTAAGTTCAGAAATAATTTTCTTTTAAATAAAAGAGTACCTAGTTAATCACAAACTCTATGTACAGTCCACTGATTCTATTCTTTTTCAATTTAGGCAATGAGTATAAGCTTCGTTACATCTACGGCTATATTAGTCAAATAGATTCAGTCAATGATAAACCCGTAGTCGCAACCTACGATTTTATTATCAATAAAAAAAAAATATAACTTGTTAATAAATTACAATATAAGTAATCAATATAAACAACATTATTAAGTAATAAAAAATGTATAATTTAAAATAAAACATAAAATGTTACAAAAAATATCTAACATCACAATCCAAAGCCGCGCTTACGTAATAGCAAATCATCTAGATATTTACAGCACTAAACTTATTATCAATAAATATAGTTTTATATTTGATAATTTTTCAGACAAATATAATCAGAATTTAATTTTTGACCCATAGAATCCATAGAATATCAATGATATTTTTTTGTAAACTTTTTGACACATTTGACGGGTAATACCAATAATAAATTTCTAAAAATAAGAGACTCTTATTAGATATTGACGGTTGTACTCTCCACATCGAATTCCGTATCGTCGGCCATGCAGATAATAATTTAAGTTTGCACTTTTTGTGTTTGCATAATTGTAATTGCAATAATTTAAGTTTGCACTGTTTTACTTGACTCGAAAAATGCAAACTTTTGTCGTAATTTTACAATCTATGTTTTATTTGTAAAAACAAAATAATATTATTATGCTCTATTTTTATATATATTTAATTTATATAATATATATATATATATATATATATATATATATATATATATATATATATATATATATATATATATTATATACTATATATATATATATATATATAAATTTCAATATTCTATTAAAAAACTTGCTAGTTAAGCTTACTTAACTTAGCTATTTAAGAATTTTAATCTTGATGTGACAGGTTTTACTACTGTGCAAAAAATCGTGTCATTGCATCAAAGGAAACAAAAAATGTCGTGCAAATAACATTTAAAGAATGTGGTAAACCATTAACAGTGTGTTGTATTGTCCATGCAGCTGGTGGAGCAATACACCATGTAAATGTTTTTCCGAGAAAATTATTTTTCTGAGAAAATTATTTAGAAACCCACAACTGAGAAGAGCACCAAAGTTTTTATTGGATTAGCCAATCAATCTGGCTGAATAAATCTTGAAATATTTATAGATGTCTTAAAGCATTTTGTTAAGTTTGCCCGCCCAACAGCCGATTACAAATTTTTTACAAATATTAATAATGGATAATCAAAAGACACCTTTCGCTACAGTCACTTGAATATGCAAAAGAGAAGCATGTTTGTATAATGACTCTGCCACCACACACTTCACGTAAGACACAATCTTTAGATAAGTCTGTTTTTGGTCCAATAAAAACATATTTTTCTGGTGCCAATAGCTGGATGCTTAACAATCCAGGACACGCGATTATAAATTATGAGATGGCCAGTCTCATTTGTCAAGCATGAGAAAAATCTTTTATGCCAACAAATATTATGTCAGGATATAGCGTGACATGAATTTGGCCTTATGATAGACATGTATAAAAGCTATCACCAGAAGATTGTGTCAAATTAACAATATACAGCTTCTGATAATCCTTTGCTTAAACATTTCAAAAACATTTTGAGCAGCCTTTGAGTACAAATTATCTTTTTTAGTTAAATTTTCTTGGAAAGTAGTCAAAGAGCTGTTGTTGAAAAAAACTGCTCAAGAATGTCTTGGTTATTATAGATCCACCTTATCAGGAAATAATATTTTCAGGGGAGATGGGAAAGAGCTAGCAGAGCTAGTAATCAAATACCTTTTTTTATTAATCGTTCAAATTCAAAAAACTGCAGGAATTCATTATGCAAGATTTCTAGGGAAATTTGTAAATTGCATGCAAATTCTTTCAACCCAAGTTGATTTTTTTTTTTTATAAAAACAGAGGTTATGTTAAGTTGGTAACTTAAGTTACAGTTTGATTTTATGCAAAGTGGTGAAAAATCAATTACTCTTTCAGTTATCTCAGGTTTGGGTATGCAACATGAAGTAGTAAAGGAAAACATCACTGTATTTCTCCTAAAATTGTACAAGATTATTCAAAGTTAATTTAAACTAAAGATTTGTAGTTCATGTTTTTTTTCAAATACTATAATTACCACATAAACTTTATAAAAATAATGCAGTTGATGAAAATAAGATTCTTGCGTTACAGCTAAAAATGTATAATATATATTTTGCATGCACCTTCTCGTAAGATTGTAAGACGTGGACGTAAAAATAGAAAGTGTATGATCAAATCAACACCAGAGATTTTAAGAATAAGAGATGAAGTAATAAACAAAAAAAGGATAAAAAAATTGTCCTTCCAAAATCAAAGAAAGCGAAGAAATATATTTTACGCAAATCAAGCAATGACCTTGATGTACATGTCAACAAAAGAGCAAATGATGTTTTTGCGAACTGTTACTCACAATGTAGGCATAGTGCAGAAAGAAACAGACAAAAATTTAAAGGTCAGCTTCCTAAAATGTCAGAATAAGGAAACTTCTAAATTTGTTAAACCTATAAATAATGACATTCGTAGTGTGATTATTAAAGATATAGTCCTTCCTCAACCGCTGGATCAACATCAAGAACAACAAACAACTTGCTGGAAAAACATCAACCCAGTGAAAAATAAAACCGCGTCCCACATGAGTTCCATGTGGGTTCCGTGTGGGATTCGTGGGATTTATATGGGACGGATTTTCCCATGTGGTATCCGTATGGAAATTTGCTACTTAAAACCCATATGGGTAAATCCCACATTGGTTACATGTTGTATTTACCCACATGGGATTTTCCCATGTGGTATCCGTAAGGAATTTTGCCACTTCAAACCCATATGGGTAATCCTACATGGGTTACATGTGGGAACCATATGGTATTTACCCACATGGGTTTTTTGTGGGATTTGCATGGGATTTTATTTGAAGGCTGGAAACTAAAACAATCCTAAATGTTAAAAACAGCATTACATTACTTTTGCGGTGAAGTTACATGCATCTTGTTTTAGCATAAAAATATCTTAAATTAATCCTAAAAAATGGCAAGCAAGTATGTAAGTACTACAAATAATTTGTATCTCTCTTTATCGAATTAAGAGTTTTTGTGCAAATAAAAGTACTATTAAGATGATAATAGTTGTTTTAATATCAGTATATATAGTAAAAGAAATAAGTTTAAAATTCACATAATTTCCCTTTTTCTTTAATGAAAATGAAGAGAAAAAAAGAAAGGGGAGAAATTCGGTAACTTTTTAGGATTAAAAACTCTTAATTTAAGATTTCATAAGGGACATTTGAACTACATTGAACAGGAGATTTACAGAAATATTTAAATATTTAATCTGAATACCACTGTTATTGGGAATAAAGACTCCTAGGTTTTTAAGGTAATAAGAATTAAAGTAATATATATATATATATATATATATATATATATATATATATATATATATATATATATATATATATATATATATATATATATATATATATATATATATATATATATATTAGGGGTAGTCATTTTTAGGGAATTTTTGAAATCGAAGTACATACCCAGCTAAAGTTGGAGCAAATATGCTAAAACTTTGTCAAAATTTTTTTTAGGTCAATCAGGTGACTTTTAAGTCCCCCTCAAGACTAAAGTTGTTAAGAAATTGTACTTCAAAAAAGGAAAAATAGGGTGTGTTCAGGGTGTTTGAGGGGTATTTAAATGAAAAAATTATTTCCATTTTTTTTTTTTTTTTTTTTTGTTATTTGATATCTATATTTTTATTTTAAAAGGGTATGTCATCATGTTTTTTACATATTCTTGGTTAAAACGATATTTACGAAAGGAAAAAAATAAAAATTTTATGTTACGCAAGAGGTTATGAAAATCGGCAACGATAAAAAAATTCTTATAAAATAATGCAGAAGAAAATGTGCTGAAGATCCTGCACTGTATTTTTAAGTCACTAAGTGTTTTTATAAAGAAATTGTACGTGAAATTGCGTTACATTATTTTATATTTGTAAATAACTTCTTTTATTTACTTGATTGTTAATCATTGAATTACAATATAAAGTAAAATTGTATTGAAGTTTTTAATTAATTACAGACCATTAAATATATTTAGATTGAATACAAAAATGGGAAAAAAAATTGTAAAAGATATTGGGAAGAGGAAGTTTCTTAGATCAAGCAAAAACAAACTTTTTACCATAAATGAGGCTAAACCAGCTATTACATGTACATATCTAATTTAAAAAAATTGTTTTGAATTTTAAATTTTTTTTTAAAAATTAAAATATTGATTTTTTTTTTCTTAAGGTCTTCAACTCCCTACTGGAATGGATGTTCTTCAACACATTGTCTACAGAAGATCACTACTTCCTCATAATGTTAAGAAGTCAGCAATTTTATCATGCCCTCCTTACAAGATTCAGGGTTACAAGAGATGTGAAGTAGATGATTGTGAATGCATTTTAGGCTTAATTAAAAGACCATGGCTTAAAGCGGGATTTCAAGTAATGTCAGATAAAAGTATTATCAAGAACCTTATGAAGATGGACAAGAAGTATTTAGATTTGAGTAGAAATAAATGTAGAGGAACAGCTAGAGACAAGGTTAATCAAGGGGAGTTTATTTCATTTTTGAAAAAGCTGTTTTGGATTGGTTCTACAGATTTAAAGAACCAAATTAGGAAGGATAAAAAACGCTCAGATAAAGATAAGCACGATGATTTAACTTTTTTGGAAGACCAGGAAGGACCGAGATATTTTAGTTTGGGATCAGAAGATAGAAAATTTAGCAAAAAGGTTTTGTGTTGTTTTTATTGGGTTAATTTGACGTTTTTTATTCAAATTTGCTAATTTAACATACATTATTTGTTAATACACATACACTATGTTAAAACAAATTTTAGGTTTCTGAAGGTGAGATGAAGAGGACAAGGCTAGAAGACGAATCTCCGAAGATTGATGCTACCTCAGAATTAGACTTAAATTTCACTGACACTAGCGCTGATTCTGATTCAGAATTTGAACCCGAAGTTTGGCATCATAGAAGAGCAGATGATTGCAACATTACTGCCAAAGTCCCTAAGAATATTTTTGATGGAAATGTATCTATCATAGCTACAGCAAATGATATCTCCCCGCAATGTCTTACAAAAAGTAACTGGAGCAATTCTTCAAGATTGTGGAGTTGATATCGCAAAATGCAAAGCCAGTGCTTCAACAGCATTAAGGAA